ACATTGGCACTCAGTAGACATAGAGTATATATTAGTTCACCCAGTAGAACAGTATTATTCTTCAATGCTGGTAGACAATTATAATGATTTTGAGAGGAAGTGATTTTTAAATAAACAAAAGATTGATTTGACATTACAATTTTGATTTTGGAGATCCAAGATGGCAGTGGTGTAGGAGGAAGCTGAACTCACCCCTTTCCAAGAGGAAAATCAAATATGCACATATGTTTGAGTCCACTGAGAACTGAATGAACAGCCTCTGACAACAAACAAGAGGAGGAGACGAAATAGAGACAGCTAGGAAGCTGAGGTAACCCTGTGGGAGCTGCAAAAATTCTCTGGGCTGCAGGAGCCAGTGAGCTCCACCATTGTTTAAGTTCCTTGATATTTAGCCACTTTAATAGGATGGATGGGAGCTCTATTCAGGTGCATTGGCCTACCTGCAAAATCCCCTCTGCAGCTTGCTCATCTCTACATTGCCTGGAGCCTTGTGACTGTGAACAAATGGAATAAGCAGGAAAAACAGTATATCACTACACCCACCTGGCCTCAAGGCTGAGAGCCACTGTACCTTGCAGGCTAGTTTCCCAGGCACCAGAAATACCTACTCCTTCTCTGCTCCAAGCAGCTTCCCCAAACTACCCAGTATATAAAGCCTGCACAGAGATTGCTTCTACACAAGATGACCTTCTGCACAACAAACGAAAGAGATGATATAGAGAAGGCTGGGGAGTCTAGGAGCTCTCCAGGACCTGCAGGAATTCTCCAGAATGGGAGGTGCTCCTCCACCTGCATGAGGTGGGTGGGGGCTCAATCCAGGTGCTCTGGTGTACCTGCAAGGTTTCCCGAGCTCATATTGGCCTAACAAAGGGAACGAGCAGGATCAATAAGGTATTACTACACATACCTGGCCTCCCCACCTGGAGCTGCTCTAACTCGGTAAGCCAGTGGCCTGGACACCGAAGGCATCCACTCGGCTCCAAAACCACAGGCAGACACACTTGTACATAAGGCCACTTTTCTAAGACTGAGATAGCTATTTTATCTAATTCATATAACCAAACATAGAAAGTCAAGCAAAATGAAAAGACAGAAGAATATTTCTCAAATGAAGGAACAAGAAAAATCCTTGAAAAGATATCCTAAAGAAATGAAAATAAGTAATTTGATAAGTAATTCAAAGAAAGAGTCATAAAGATGCTTTTCAAACTTGAGAGAGGAATAGGAGAACTTNAGGTAAAGGCCACAGAGCCAATGCAAAGGTATCCCATAGCAAAGTCCCTCCTCCGTCTCGCCCCAAGGTGACCTGCAAGGTGACCTGGCCAGGAGCACAGCAAAGGCTGAACTTGCAGTCCACGGCCAGCGCCAGGCCCCCATGGTTCTACCAAGGCAACCCAGGGATCCCGGGAGACAACAGTCTTCCATGGCCAAGTCCATGTTCGCATCTGGCCTTCAGCAGAGCTTCCCGGGTTGGCAGAAGCAAAGCTCCCTGCAGCACTAAGGGGAAGTCTTGGGACTTGCTTGGCCCCAGCACTACCTTGAGGGTGTGTGGCAACCCCTCTACCACTCTATTTAGCGGTGACTGGCCTATCTTTTGCGGTTGTTCATTTAGTAGACGCAATGCTACTGGTACTTGGGATGCCCATTGCTTCATGGGCTTGTCCCTCCTAGGGCCTGGGGCTTTTTTTTTAACAGTCAGTTAAAGTTTTCTATCATACCCACAGCCTGCAGGTGATAGGGGGCATGTAGCTGCCACTCTATGTCCTGCTTCTTTGCCCATTACTGAGCTCGCTGTCCTGTGAATTGGGTTCCCCGGTTGCTCGAGATGGTGAGCGTCCGCCCATACATAGTGCTCAGCTGCTCCAGGGCACATATGGCATCCTGTTGCAAAGTGGTGGGAGTAAGCCACGCAAAGCCCAAGCCGGTGGCAGTGTCGACCACTGTAAACAGGTACCACTTACCTGTAGCCTGGGGAAACAGCCCCACATGGTCCACCTGCCATGTAGTGGGCATAGCCCCCGCTCAAGCTTTCCAGACTGAGTAGGCAGTCGCAGTCGCTGTCTATAGGGGTGGTGGTTGGCGCACTGGGGACATGATCGAACAGCCTCTGTGGCTTATGCCACTGTCAGAGGCGTGCCCCAGTGCTGGGCCACTTGGCACATGGTTCACAGGCCT